AGTAAATGTCAGTATGTTGGATTTTGTGGGTTAGAACCTAATATTTTAGAATGAAGGAAGCAGGTTGTGAATTAGGTATGATTTAGGAAAGAAGGGCAAGTTCATAGTGACCAGAGCACTATTTCTTAAACCATTTCTGAGACCCTTTGGGACCTGGGGTCTCCTGTGATGTTAATGTCTAAAAGGCAACAGCATCCTCCGGAAGAAGCAGCTCCTTTCCATGCCTTCATTCTGAAGAGACTCCTCTTTCAGAGCAAGGAGGGTGCAGTAGGCAGCCCATGTATTTATTGCCTACCACAAAATTTAAACCAGACACCAGAAGAATCTGAAAAACACTGAGCAAAAGAATCCTTCAGGATACCAACTTCCTATGTCAGCTGGGGGCCATTCTTTTCAGCGCAGGTTTACTCAACTACACACTAGAAAATTCAGGGTGATACACATGGAAAAGAGAGATGCACAGTAATGCCATGCTCTTTTCAGAACACCTTGAGGCAGTGAGCTGAAACATGATAGGTGTGTTCCATATTGAAGTCATCTTTGACCACATCAAGGACAGAAGCATTTTTGTCTGAGTTTTATCTCTTCAAACTCTAGGTGAATAAAGTCTATCTTGTGTATAGATTCTTTGCTGTCTCTACCCCTGGAAAACTTACTACAAGGACTGTTCTTCCAAAACCCTGGATCAGTAACTTTTTCTTATTCTGCCATCATATTTACTGATCACTCATGTGGATCCCCTTCTTTCTGGACACTCTCTTTCCTCTTAATGGCATCCTTTATATTTTCCTATGTAAGATTTTTGAGATTTTGCCTTTTTAAGTCATCCTTACCACAAAAACTTGCCAAGGCTATTCAGTATGAGAGGATAGATATCTTTAGACAATATTGTAAAAGTCGGCAGCCTCTTTAAAAGAGAAACCAGATTGTCGCAACCTGTTTTCATCTACAAGCGCACTTTTCTTTCAGGACCTTGGCCAGCACCCACTCAAAGCCCTTCCCCCTTGCCAGGGAATTGTGCTAACAACCATAATTACTAGAAAAATGACTTTGATGTAATTGTGCAGTTGGAGTATATATGAGCAAGAACATTTGAAGTCTTATTTTTCAGGGAAGAATGATCTCATCCTTGTCTTCTATTCCTTTGTTACTCTAAGTGTAATATGTGGACCAGAAGCACCAGCATCCCCTGGGTGTCTGTGAGACATGGAGACTTTCAGGGCTCATCAAAATCTAAATTTTGAAAAAAATTCTGGATGGTTTGCACATGAACCAATAGTCTGTTGACTGGTGGAAAAGTAATGACGACAGTTCCAAAACCAGGGGTCTGACAGTGGGAGGAAATGTTTAATATGGGCCCTATTGGAAAAATACTGATGGTATGGTTGGTGTGGGTAGGAGGCCCGCTACAGACCCTGTGCAGGTTGGTACTGGGCCAGGTGTGCCTGTTTAGCTTTTTTAAGAATCAGATGTAAAACAAAGGCCCAGCAGAGGTTGGCCTGTGTTTTCCCCAGAACGTTTTTTAATCATCAGTGCTTACCTGTGACAAATGCCCGTCTTAAGGTGTATTACTCTCCTGTAATTCCCCACTTCAACACTGGAGGGATTTTTATGTGGCCCAGAGCATCTTCAGTGCTGAAATTGATCTAGACACTGACAAATGCCATATTGCTTTGGTGTTCTAGGGCACGTAGGGGCACCTCTCCCCTGCAATCATATCAAGCTTATCGATGTCGAGGAACTGAACTATTGGACCTCCAAAGGAGAGGGAGAGGTAAAGTTAGGACCTTAGCCATTTATGTCTCTGCATGCCACATTCAGTAAGTAAAAGAAAAACAATGGAATTGTTTTCCTTTCACCCTCCCTGTAAAGTCACTTTATTTTTTATTTTTTTTATTTTTTTTTAAGATTTTTATTTATTTATTTGACAGAGAGAGATCACAAGTAGACAGAGAGGCAGGCAGAGAGAGAGAGAGAGAGAGGGAAGCAGGCTCCTTGCTGAGCAGAGAGCCCGATGCGGGACTCGATCCCAGGACCCTGAGATCATGACCTGAGCCGAAGGCAGCGGCTTAACCCACTGAGCCACCCAGGCGCCCTAAAGTCACTTTAAATTACTGATTAATTTCACTCTACTGAATTCAGCATTTCCTCTCTTGCTTATGAAGCAACCAGCCCCTAAGGTTGGGACCGGGCTGGTCTAAATCAAGACTTGAAATTCCCAAACTTTTGCGGCACCTGGGTAGCTCAGTCAGTTAAGCATCCAACTCCTGATTGTGTCTCAGGTCTTGATCTCAGGGTTCTGGGATTGAGCCCTGAGTCAGGCTCTGCATTCAGCAGGGTGTCTGCTTGAGATTCTCTCTCTCCCTTTCAATCTCCGTCCCCCCCACCCGCTCATGCTCTCTCTCTAAAATAAATAAATCTTAAAAAAAAACAAAAAAGCAAAAAATGAAATTTCTAAACTTAAAAAAAAAATCAATTTTTTTCCTCTAACTGACATGGCCTGCTACTATGTATGTGTCCCAGCAGAAGCCGTACCCTTGCAACTAGACCAGAAGAGGGGGATAGAGCTGGCCTATACTTGTTCACTCCATGGGAGCAGATGGGGCATGATTGCCCCATCATGTCACAGAGAGCTCAAATCTCCAATGGAATCAGCCAGCCCTCAGTATCTGAGGAGACCCCTTTCAGTGTCACAAAGCAGCACTTACTGAAGGGAGGGAGGGCAGGAGGCCTGAGGGTAGGGTAGGGGGCCAGGACAGGGAAGAAACATGGCCAGGACAGAACATACTGTTGGAGAGAAGCAGGAGACTGTTCAGTCTGCTTGTGGCCATTCCTGTACTCTGTCTCCATCTCTGCTGTTTCCACAGCAAATTTCTGGAAGGATAGGATACATTCTCCTACACATGCCTCCTGACAGCCCCACATCAGGATTCCTCATGCTGTGGGTTGACAGAAACCCTGTATTTGTCCCTACAGATATGTGTGAGAGGACCAAATGTGTTCAAAGGTTACTTGAAAGATCCAGACAGGACAAAGGAAGCCCTGGACAGCGACGGCTGGCTGCACACTGGGGACATTGGGAAGTGGCTGCCGGTGCGTAAGTTTCCAGCCACCGCATGCTCACGGTGGGAGGGTGTATAATCCAACTCACTTCTGAGGCAAAATTCTTCTCCATATCTTCCCTGATAATTAGCCATTTAGGAACTGCGGGGCGGGGGAGGGGTGGGATAAGGAGGTTCTTCCTTATCTTGCCCCCAGAGCTTTCTTGTCTGTCCATCCTTCTGATAAAGGTGATAGAGATCTTTATGGGAGGGCACAGCTGGAGTTTAAGACCACTCCCTACCTTATCCCTTTCCGGGTTGAGATTTGTCAGTGCTGTGGAATCTGACCGGTGAGGTACAGGGGGCCGGAAGCTCATAGCTCTGGGAGGTCTGAGAAAGGCAGGGCCTAGGGACCCACAGACATTGACACCTCGCTGAGAGGTGGCACTGAGCAGTGGGAAAAGTTGGAGCCAGGTGGAAGGGTGTCTGAGTTCTTTTGGCTCTGCCAGCAGTTGCTCTGAGATTGAAGCCCAAAGCCTCATCCCTCTCCGGGGCTCCTTATTGACTTTCTTGTGGAGTAAGAGAAGAAAGCTATGTGATATTCTTTGGCTGCAGCCCCCGACTTTTAACCAGACCCGGTTATTGTGCCTCACTCTGTCATTTGTAAAATGGGGGCTAATAACACTGATTACCTCTATGGTGGTTTTGAGGAATAAAAGAAGTTATACCTGTAAAGCGGTTGACACAATGCCTGGCACACAGGATATGCTTAGATTAAAAACTATGACCAGAAAATGGCTCTGTTGCTGGAACCGAGAGCCCCTGGCCTGATACAGCCCCCGGCCTGATACAGCCCCCCTCAGGAATGTCCCCTGTGTCTTTGTGAAGTTGCTAAGGTTTAGGGTAGATGCTGTAAAATGTAGTGTTTCTCAGGCATGTGAATGGTGCTGAACCGTCTGGTGGCCCTGTAGGCTGGTGAGCTGATTCGCCCCGGCCTTGAATCTGTGTCCTTCCCTGAGAAGCCCTTTCTCATAGCAGACACAGATGCACCCCCAGTGTGTGCCCAGGGCCAGGGACTCTGCTCAGGAAAGAGATGCCAATATGGTATGTAATGTGATGGGCATAAGTGAAGGGCCACGCTCACCTGGGGAGAGGCAGGGGCTGATGGGCACCTATGGGAGTCTCAGGATGTGAGTCCTGTTCCAAGGAGAGGGTGGAGAGGATGTTCAGGGCAGGAGTGATAGCACATGCTAAGTAGAGAGACACGAGAGGTGTGAGGTAGGCAGTTCTCCCTGAGGCCCCCTAGGTGTGGAGGGGAGAGGCTGGGGAAGCAACAGGGCCTACAGGCTGGCAGAGCGTGCATCATTCCCTCCGCTGAGGAAGCCTAGGCTCAGAGCCCCTCACTTGCACAGGCCCTGTCCAAGCCCCAGCACTTCATTTTATATTATTTTTCTTAAAGAGGGAGGGCCTCAAAATTGGTAAAAGCTTGAAGTTCCACAGAACCTTGAATCTAGTACTGATTCCCTGTAAGTTGGATGCAACCACCCACCTTGCAGGATGTTAGGAGAAGCAAGTAAAGTAATTCATGTGGAGACCTAGAGCTGTGTATACACTAGGAGCCCAGGACAGTGGACAGGTGGTCTGTAGGTGTCCATTTTTTAAAATTATTAATGTTTTGAAAGAGTATTAGGTAGCTTAGGACAAGGTACAAACTTCTGATCCAGAAAGACCTAATTCAAATCCTGGTTCCCCTGCGTCCTAGCTGTGTGGCTTTTGAGAAATCAACCAAATTCTCTAATCCTCATTTTCCTCATCTGTGGAATGGAGGTGACGATGCCCCACTCAGGGCATCTTTGACCATGAGGGTCAAAGAAGCCAGTTATAGAAAGCACCTAAGGTCCAGCCCGGGTTTTGAATGAAACAGGGCCTGCTCGTTTTTCTTTTCTGGAAACTTTGCTCTGCTTTGGCCAATTAAACAGATGGAGGAGGGACAGAGGATATGCAGAAATCCAGTCAGGAAGGTGACAACTCTGCATTCCATCTGGTCTGTCAGGGAGGAGTCCCCTGGGACCTCTGCCAAGGTCTGCTGTTTGCTGGGGGATGGAGAGGCCACTCTGGGAGCAGAGGCAGTAGCTGGGCAGAAAGGCCTAAGCATCATTCAAGGGAGTGAATTTGAAGATGGTGGTGAGAAAAGAGGCAGTTTGGGCGAGAGGGGAAGGTAGGCAGGCCTTCTGAGGAGGAGGACACCTGGTTGTGGCGGGTATGAGAGTGGGGAGTGGGAAGCAGGGTAAGTGCTGAGGGGAAAGGACAGTGGGCACTCAGCGTCTAGCAGATCTCTAGAGCCATCAACCCGTGGTTCGTGGTTTGTGGTGGCCCTCTCTAGCCACAAGGGGGCTGTGTAATGGCAGAGGCCTCAGGCGGAGGCCCAGATCCAGTGGGGTTTGCAGGGGGGATAGGGCAGGGGTGAGGCACTATGGCACTGATGAGTGAGGGGTTTAGATTCAAGAATGCTATCTTTTCCTGAAGCGGTTTGTCCAACTCCACAGGCAGGGACTCTTAAAGTTATTGATCGGAAGAAGCATATATTTAAGCTTGCTCAGGGAGAATATGTGGCGCCTGAGAAGATTGAGAACATCTATATCCGGAGTGAGCCTGTGGCACAAATCTATGTCCATGGGGACAGCTTAAAGGTGAGTCTCCTGTGCTTCAGCCCTCTCACGCATACTGGGCCTGCTGAAAAATCTGGAGTTATTTGGGAATAACTTCCTGAGTATTTGGTATTTGGCTGTTGTGGTAAACATGGATTTCCAATCAGACACTGGTATTCTGCATATTAGATTGTGAGAGAAAATTCCTTTTGAAGGAGAAATCTCACTTGTAGAGTTTGATAAACTGTGATTAGATGAAAAAGTTGCTTGAAGTAGTGGTAATGAACATTCCCACTGCTTTTAACTTAGGCTCCACCTACTTCCAAGAGGGATATTGAGATAAGATGCTAAAGCCAGATTCAGGGTTTCTTCTGCTCTTCAGTCTTAAAAATGCAGATGAGGTCTACAGATAAATAGATACAGTATTATAAATAACGGTACTGTTGATAATATAGTTCTCCCTCTCTGTATATATGGCTAATATATTAGGCTAATATGTTAACATAGTTAGGATTAAATTATTAGAGAGGATTTATGTTTATTCTGCTTTCAACATCATTTAGACTTGAAGTCAGAAAGATTACTGTGAATATATTTTGTGCTGTCATTGGATTCATTAGGCAAATATTATTAATTTATTTTAAAGAAAATCCTTTAAAAGCTTAAAATGGAGTTCTTCATGAATGGGTGCCATATTAATAAAACAATTTCAAAATTATTTGGGAAACCTTGAGAAATATATGTGTTTGGGTTCATAGAATTGTTTGACTGACATCTTAAAGGTGTACTCATGGGATTGGCATGAGAATTAAACTTTACCGATTCTTAATATCCTTAAGTTTACCCTTTATTAATTCTTGTTAACAAAGTTAAGGAAATATATCGGAAAATAAACAGTCAAGAATGTGTGCTATATTGGTGGAAATGTTTCATAACATAAGCATATACTTATTTTTAGAAGAAAGTGGAATCTGAGAATACCAGGAGATTATTTTTTTTTTAAGATTTTATTTATTTATTTGACAGACAGAGATCACAAGTAGGCAGAGAGGCAAGCAGAGAGAGAGAGAGAGGAGGAAGCAGGCTCCCCACTGAGCAGAGAGCCCGATGCGGGGCTCGATCCCAGGACCCTGGGATCATGACCTGAGCCGAAGGCAGAGGCTTTAACCCACTGAGCCACCCAGGCGCCCCCAGGAGATTATTTTTAATGCTGGACCACAAATAACCACTTTGAAATCTTTTGTCTTGACTGTGTTTTCCTTTGGTTGGGATTGCAGGCCTTTTTGGTGGGTATTGTTGTGCCAGACCCTGAAGTCATGCCCTCTTGGGCCCAGAAGAGAGGAATTGAAGGGTCATACGCAGAGCTCTGTGCAAATAAGGTCTGTACCTTGGTTGCTGGACCTCCCGATGCTACTGGGTAATGGGAAGGCAGAAACACAGTAGACCAGTGGAATGTGAACCTATAGGGACATTTCTAACTTTATTTTATAAGTGGTAGAAATCTTAAACCAGAGGTTCGTTTTTTTGTTACTGTGGTTGGAGGAATGCAGATTTCTTCTTAGAAAGTTTGATAGACTATTGAACTATTGAAGGAAGACGTCACAGAAAGCTTGTCCAGACCTGCTGTCTGGCAGCTCGCAGTTGGGTCCAGAGAGGGAGGTGGCTGACCCAAGGCCACACAGCTGACACCGCTGGTTAGAGTATTGTCAGGTGTGAGTATAGGCCTTCTGACTCACTGGCCTTGCTCTTTCCAAATGTGAGGTGGCTTTTGTATGTACTGGACTCAGACAGTCGTGGAGTTGACAAAAAAAAAAATAGATTCCCTTCTTCCTGCTTAGAGCTTTAGCCATGGCCATCTGCCCGAAACTTCTCAGGCACGGGTAGAGTCCTCTGGAAGAGATTGCTGTTCTAGCTCAACACCACCTCGTCCAGGCACATGGTCCATGTTCAGCAGCACCCATGGTCCCGAGCACTCTCACTGGATCCTGGGCCCTTCTGGGAGAGACAGGGTTCCTGGGACTCACCGGGCTGACCAGAGAACCACTTTAAAAAATGGAGTGGTCCCTTAGCCTTCCTGGTCACTCCTTTGGTCATGCCTGGCACTTGCTTGCCTGATGAGAGGTGGTGACTGTGTGCTGCCTGGGAGTGTCAGCCCCAGGAGAGGGGCAGAGGTGGGGGTTGGCACAACCACCAGTCGTACTTTGCTGAAGACTCACTGTTTCCTCTACCTCCATTTTGAAATGTGTTTTTGCCTTGTCATTTTTTTCTCTATGGTCCAATTCAGGAGCTGAAAAAAGCCATTTTGGAAGATATGGTGAGGTTAGGAAAACAGAGTGGACTCCATTCGTTTGAACAGGTAAATATTACCTTCCCCATACTTGTTACAACCCTTCATGCAGTGCTGAAAATTAAACTCAGCCATGGTGACCCTGACCTAGATTCTCCACGCCCGTATGCTGCTGCCCTTGGACAGGCTGCGTACTGACAAGACCCCTGAAGGCCTGTTCCAAGCCAACTTGTAGCAGCCTTTGTTCTGCGCTAAAATAGGTCGTATGTCAAGTGAGACTGTGCTTGCTGTCCTCATAATCACAGACGTTCCTAACGCTGAAATATTACCTTGCTGTCACACAGCAGAGCATGTGTGCACATGGTTGGCCTGTCTCCAGCCTGCCTGCAGTACTCAAGACCAGAGTCCTCTCTTATTTTTATTTTTATGGGGACTATCTTCTTGGCAGCAGCAGGCAAGCTGACTGGCTAGGACATTGGAAAGGTCATGTTCCTCGGGCCAGTGATCTCTCTGCCCCGCGTGTCTACCACAAAGAGGAAAAAACACAGAATGTGTTAGGAGATGACACAGCAAGTGGTCCTCTCAGACCCTTTCTCTTTGCAAGTTTGGGGTTCTTATTGTAACTGAGTTCAGAAGCGCCCTTGATCCTACTTATCTACACCATTTATACATCCTCTTTAGTCAAAAATTCAAAAAGAAAAATTATTCAAATAGAGAAATAGACACACTCTGATTTTAAAAAAAATTTTCTGCCTGTCTTTAACATAATCATTTGTAATAAAATTGTGTTTCTCCAATAGGGCTTCCAAATACAGTGTTAGTGTTAGGGATCTGCAGGGTTTATGAGAATTTTAAATTTTGTATGTTTATTTTGATGATAACCTGAAAACATTTTTAAACCAGTTTCAAATGTAAAAACTCTTATAGCAGGTATTTATGATTAGAAACCTCGTCCACAGAGTCAGACTTTAATTTCTTAAGTTTCAAACTGATGGAATCTAAACACAGTTTCAGAATTATTTTCCTTGAAGTAGATCTTTATATGAATCTAGTTTGAGAAACAGGGCTTTACCCTCATCTCTCAGCATCTAAGGCAAAAAAAAAAAAAAAAAAAAAAAAGGCTTGGATGAATTAAATCTTCATTTTAAAAAATTACAAAGTCAGAGGGATTCAGTCAAGTTATATTTCTCTTTCTGAATGAAAGTTCATTTCTGACATCATTATTTAAATTTGCTAGAACTGATTTCATTGCCCTTCCACTAATGGTTTCTGTGTGACTGGATCACATGATGACGTAGAGCAGGGAACACAAATGAGTGGTCCAAGACCCCTTTGTTCTGGGCCTGCGTCTTCCTCTGAATGGGGAGCTACAAGGGCTCTGAGGGCATTGCTTTAAGCTGATTGGTTCCTGCCACTACCTTGCTATTCCCGAGGCTGGCACGCCCCCTGCTGGGTCTGGGCGGCATGACCTGCCCCAGCACATGGAGAATCTTAGCATTTGGATGCTAAGCAAAAGACCATCCATCACCTCTAAATATTATGTTGAAAGGGGATCTTTGGTGAAGTTTCAGGTGTTAACCATTGCTCAGATTAGACCCTTACTGAGAGGAGAGGTATTCTTTTTTTTTTTTAAGATTTTATTTATTTATTTGACAGAGAGATCAGAAGTAGGCAGAGAGGCAGGCAGAGAGAGAGAAGCAGCAGGCTCCCTGCTGAGCAGAGCCTAATGCAGGGCTCGATCCCAGGACCCTGAGATCATGATCTGAGCCGAAGGCAGAGGCTTAACCCACTGAGCCACCCAGGCACCCCTAGTTTCTGCTCTTAATCTGCCTTCACCGTGGTAACCTCAAATACAGGGAAGTCATGTGGGAATCCCAAAGACCTGAGCTTTATCACCAAGGGTGTCACCACTTCATTTTCTCTGTTCTCCTTTTCCTTTTTGTTGGTCTGTGCATCCTCTACCAATAAGCAGTGCATGCCCTCAGCTGACCACTGGAGAGTGAAAACTGGGCCTCCTGCCTGAGGATGGTGTGCTCCCACTTGTGCTCCAGAGATCAATATAAATCATTTAAGTTAACCCACAGTCCACTGTCAGCTTGTCCTTTTCCCTTTTCCTCAAAAATGAGTCATCAGTTAAGGCTTAATACTAGTTTTTTTGAAAACCACGCAAACACAAATAGATATACAAGCCTACAAGGCTTAAATCATTCACCAAAAGCTTTAAGAGTTCAGGCTCACTGGGCAGGGTTGATCTGAATTAACATTTGAATTAGATAAAAAATTAATGTAATTTAATTTCCAGAAACAGACAATTTCTTAGAATGAGGCCAATCATTATTTCTTTATGGAGATCTTTGGAAGATATATTTTAAGGAATAGATAGGAAGCATTTAAAATCACTCTATCGATAATTAAAATGTTTAGGTACCCATGAAGTTTTTGAGCATACTTAGCCATGATTTAACCATTTTCTTGACATTTATATGCCTTATTAGTTTGTGGAGACAATAAGTGAACTTTGACACTTGATAGATTTTTCATATTCTGATGTGAAACTCTCACCAAAATATATTATTGTGTTTTCTGTCACTAAACTGAATGCTTACCTAACTAATTTGCCTTTAAATCAGAAATGAAAAAAAAAAAAAGAAAGAAAGACATGAATAGAGCATTTGCCTAATTACAGTGGGTTTAAATGAAAAAAAAAAAAAAAAGAAAGACATGAATAGAGCATTTGCCTAATTACTGTGGGTTTTGTTTTTACTTTATCTCTTCAGTCTGAAATTATTCACTCTGTGTTTATTATCTCCAAGCAACATTAGGGTTTGATTCAGTAATACCATTGAAAATTTAAAATACCATGTTTCTTCAGAATTATGAAAAGTTTTGTGCTGTAATGAGTTAGCATAAATTGACACTTTTGAGGTATTTTAACTCAATACAATATATAAAAGTTACAGTATTTCTAAACTAAAAAAAAAAAACCCTTTGGAATCACTTTTCAGTGGCAAGAGTGTAGTTTCAGAAAGGAAGCTAACATTATTAGCATTTCCTTCCTTAACAAAAATTTTGCTTATTGGGGCGCCTGGATGGCTCAGTCAGTTGAGCAGCTGACTCTTGATTTTGGCCCAAGTCATGATCTCAGGGTCCTGGGATCAAGCCCTGCACTCAGCAGGAGTCTGGCTGGGGTTCTCTCCCTCTCCCTGTGTCCCTTCCCCCACTCATGTGTGTATGCATGCGCACACACTCTATCAAATAAATTGATAAATCTTAAAAAATTGCTTTGCTTATTACAAATTAGAAAACGAGTTTCACATTGTGTTAGGCCCGAAGGGAGAATAAAGATTCTCATTCCTTTTTTTTCCCACAAATCGATAGTTTGGTTTTATTAGAAAATACGTAATTATAGAAAATGAAAATTGGTTTTAACATTGGTTTCCTTCTTTAAAAAAAACAACTAAGTTTGGGAAGTTTGGGACCTACAGTTGAGCTCAGTGTTAGTTAAAGTACTGGTTTGATCCATTTTTTTCCCCTACTTACTGACTGGACTTTATTCATTCAGGCAGTTTGTATAGGTATTTTCTTTCTTTCTTTTTTTTTTAAATTAACACATAATGTATTATTTGCTTCAGGAGTACAGGTCTGTGAATCGTCAGTCTTACACAATTCACAGCACTCACCGTAGCACATACCTTCTCCAATGTCCATCATCCAGCCACCCCATCCCTCCCCCTCTACCCCCAGCAACCCTCAGTTTGTTTCCTGAGATTAAGAGTCTCTTATGGTTTGTCTGCCTCCCCTGTCCCATCTTGTTTCATTTTCTTCCCTCCCTACCTCCCATGACTCCCCCGCCCTGCCTCTCAAATTCCTCATATCAGAGAGTGTATAGGTATTTTCATGGAAGAATTCAAACAGACCCAGAGCTGTAGGTCAGCCTGATACAGGGCCCGGCAGCCAGGCCGCAGAGCCACTCTCAGCCACTCACTAAGGGAGTTAAAGGCGCCCTATGCCTTGGCTTCCTGCAAGGCGGTATTTAGTGCTACTCCCTGTCTGCAAGCAGAAACTATTTTGTAGTGAGCCACACTGAACTGCTGATGCCCCCATCAGCCCTTAGGCTTGCTGTGACATCTACCTGCTGGTTCAGTCCTTTGTTCCTGAGATCATAACGTTTTCTTTTCTAGTCTACTGAGCATCTAAATAGCATTCCATAGCTCTCCCTATGAAATTCATCTTCCCTGTACTTTATCGTTTGTAGCTTCTGTGTGTCACTGCTAGATTTTCAAAGGTGCTCACCCCAAGCCCTGCACTGAACATACACTCTAGTTCCAATTTCATCGTGTTCTCCACAGGCTGTGAGGGGCTCAGATGAGCTGAAACCCAGGCTGCAGATATTGTATCTTGGCTTCTGCTTCTCCTTTTAAAATTACATTATTAATTTCATTTACAAAAGAAGGTTGGCTTTTGCACTTACCAGAAGTCTTTATGTGGTACCATTTTTATCAGAAGAGAACTTTAGGGGGAAAAAAAAGTTAAGGAAATTAGCACTATTTTCAGCTTTTCATTTTATGACCTTATGTAAACATGAGATAATAAATTAATTTGTAGAATCTAAGATTAAGTTTGACTCAGATTGTGTTCATGTCTTCTTCAGGCTAATTACTTTTGTTGTCAAGTGGTGATTTCCAAACTTCTTTAAGCACCAGAGCTTAGATGGAATCTTATCTGAAAAGTCGAGCTTGCACCAAACATTGGAGCAGTGCTGCCCTGGTGGGGTTGGGGCTGCAACCAGAACCTCTCTCCCCTTGCTCCCCAGCCCAAGCACCTCACTTCATCCCTCCTCCACCCCACCTCCACACACCTCTGCTTCTCACCAACCTCACCCCACCCCCACTTATATATACCTGCCTCCCCCACCACAGCACCCCCAGCAGGGGCCTCCGCAGAACCCCTGCTTTTCAGTGCACTCTGTCTGAAAATATCTCCCTTGGGACCTGTTTCCAGTGAATTTTGGGTCCTCTAGAATGGTTAATGTTTAATAAAGAAAAATTTAAAAAAATATATTCCAGAGG